TGATATCACCGTCCTACTTCCAAGTCAATGGCATCCACTGTGACACCCGTATGGTGGAATCATATTCATCTGAGAGGTGGAGGTGAATGGGGTTCAGAGTATCCACGGAAATATGAGGCAAGTCAACAGGGTGAAGCAGCACAATACATGCATCTGCAGCCTAAATTTCGACACCCACAATCCTTCAAAAGTCTACCTCCACCATGCTCCACATCATCAGCATCCAGTAAGATGTCGAGTCACGCGCCGCACTCCGTTGAGTTCCTGAAGATTATGAGAGCGGTGTAATCGCAGTCGCAGGTTTTCCCGATAGACGACATATAGTGACAGGCTCGTATGACAAGACGCCTCGGTTGTGGGACTAGAAGACAGGTATTGTGTTGAAGAAGATGGAGGGGCATCGCAGTGAGGTGCGGCCGTTGGCAGTCGGTGGTGATGGTGAGGATTTTCCGAGGCTGTACCACGAGATTTGGTTGCATCATCGTGCACACAGAGATCTTTAGAGTCTATTGGATGAAGAAGCGATATTGCAGTAAGCTATATACACGCGTTCGAAGGAGTGATGAGCTGGAGTAGCTGCTAGATACAACAAACAACGGTATTCATGCAGGATAGACAGTCAGATTCGAGCGCTGGAAAGCACGCACTGCTCGATTGGATGCGATGGGAGTACATTCAGGAAGCTTTGAAGACAAGGACGCATGTATGCACCGCAGATGTGCATACTGTCGAGGACAGCGGGTATGACAATAGGGTGCATCACGGCGATAGAGGCGTGGGCACGAACAGCCTTAAGTGTCCTGGGCGTCTATTGAAATGAGGCAAGCTGTGAAGTACGCACCATACACCCTCGGCAGCTTAGAGAAAGACACAGTCTCTCCAAAGTTTGACCTCGACCGTATTCAATATCATCCAAATCCATTAAAATGTCGGAGCTGATTACAACCATCACGCCCCTGCGAGAGTTCCGAGGCCATGAAGGAAGCGTATATGCAATCGCAGTTTTCCCCGATAAACGGCGAATGGTTACGGGCTCGAACGACATGACGCTTCGTCTGTGGGACTTGAAGACAGGTGTTTTGTTGAAGAAGATGGAAGGGCATCGCAATGGGGTGACGAGATTGGCGGTATCACGAGATGGACAATTGATAGCAAGCGGTGATTGGAGCGGAGAGGTCATCGTCTGGCACGGAGAAACTGGGGAATCACTCACCAAAATCGAAGCACACTCCAATTCGATCTACTCGCTAGAATTTTCTCCCGATGGAACAGTACTGGCCACTAATGCATTTTACAACAAAATGATGAAACTGTGGAATACCAAAACCTGGCAGCTGCAAGGAGACCCAATCGAGTGTGCATGTGTCCATTGCGTACGGTATTCACCGTCTGGAGAACTTCTTGCCATCGCAACAAACAGCCATATCAAAATTTACAATTCAGGCACCAGGAAACGTGTCACATCATTCAAGGCTCACACATTCAATTGGTCACTCGCGTGGACGCTCGATGGTACATGCCTTCTCACAGGCGGCAATCATCTTGATCCTACCATACGTGGATGGGATACAAAAACCTGGGAGCAGGTCGGGGATCCCTGGACGGGCCACTCTCATAATATCAATGCTATTGCCATTCATCCTGCTGGCACACTCGTCGCATCCGCATCTGGTGACCGCCATATTCATCTCTGGCGCCTATCAGATCGACAAACCGTTGCCATCTTCGGACACTCATCCCTCATGGAATGCATCACTTTCTCCGTGGACGGCAATCACATCTTCAGCGGAGGTGAATGTAACATCTCGGAGTGGACAGTACCTCAGGGTATACATCCAAAGGTATGTTTCCGTCTCTGACTCATATACCACAAATCGAGTATGCTTCTTGCAGACTATCGCCACTACAACAGTCCGTGATGCATGCATAGATGGAGACTTATCTACTAACGAAGAGCAACTCATGCAAGATATGAACACCGATGCGAACAACCACACTCCCCACGCCCATCGCTCAAAGGCATGTTTCCGTCCTTGACTCGTATATACCACAATTCGAGCATGTCTCGTGCAGATCCTAGCCATCACGAGCGCCCGTCTTGCATGTGTAAATGGAGACTTATCTACCGCCGAAGAACTACTCACTCAAGATATCAACACCAATCCGAACAACCATACTTTCTACGCCCATTGGTCATTTGTCATGGCGCGAAAACATGACTGGGACCGCGCCCTTCTGGACGCAATCAAGGTGAGAATCATCGCCGCCTTATACAGGGCTAACTTGGCGATGACATAGTCCATCAGGATTCATCCCTCATTGACGGGCTATATCTCCAAGGGTATTGCCCTCTGTGGAAAAGACCGCGTCCTGGATGCGAGGGCAGCATTTGATGTTGCATCCATGTACACGGACCAGGATTCAGAAATCACACATTTTCTGCTATTGATCAAGGTATGGTATGTTACATTTGCCTCGCATACTCTTCCCTTCATCGCGTATTTCAGGCCATCGCGCTCTTCAATGCAGATCAACATGACGAGGTAAACCTGCTCCTCAAAGAGCTCGCTGCAGGTTGTCCGAATGCCGATACTCTCGCATGTCGTGTCGTGCAAGTAAGTATCATCCATGCTTGGTCATCAACACTCTTTACAACTCGCACATTAGGCATATCTACGGGTTCAACTCGGAATGCAAGCCATGGATGGCGCACGTCACTATGAAGCCGCTGACCATCTCACTGCCGCTCTTGACTGCCGCGATTCATCATCGAAATCGAACATTCTTGAAATATATGGGGATTTGGTTGTGGTGCGTTGAGATGATGCATATATGACGCTTTTCATAACTGGATCTCTTGTCCAGCTCTTTGGCTGGGACCTGAAGTCCTTGTGGCAAAAGGCACGCCAGAAACGGTGTGATGCACTCTTTCGGGCGGGTAAACTCCAAGGTGCCGTGAAATCATACCAACACATGATGGCTTTGAGCGACGAAACTACAAATGCTGACTACTTTGACTGGTCTAACGGCGAGTCTAGAGTCCGTAATATTGCATAGGCTACAATCCTCACCCACATTTCTCTCAGATTTCAAGCAAGAATGCAGCGCACTCTGCGCTGCCAACGGAGATGCTGCCTTGGCTGCAAGCGATTACGACCAGGCTATTGATCTATATTCGATGGCGATCGACCTGGATTCTGCATCCTATGTCGTCTTTGCAAATCGTAGCCACGCAAAGTTAAGTAAAATGCTATGGGAAGAAGCGCTCTTCGGCGCGCAAAAGGTACGATGACAATTAAGTTTTGTAGCCCATGCTCACTTTGGCGCTGCATAGGTCACCGAACTCAATCCCTCGTCTCACATTGGATACAAGTTGACGCACGCAGCGCTGCGTGGCACGCAACGTTACGATGACGCTATCGAGGCTTTCACAATCATGTTGTTCAAGTTGGACGAGGCTCCCGAAGCTCAGATACGAGGTAAGCCATGGAACACTCCTGCATTGTCTCGAAATCGAAATGCCTATATCGTTCTGCAGATCTGCGTCAGCAGTACGTCTGTCCATTCGAAGCAGAAGACACCATTCGAAGAGCGGTTTGGATCGAACTCAGCAACGCACCCCTTCGTCTCCTCAACACCTCTACGAGTCTTTTGTGCGACCGAGCGGTACAGCTAAACTTCTTCAAAACAAGTCCAGAGTACAAGGAGCTCTTGTCATCCATAACAAAGCGTTCGGATCTCCAAATGGGATGCATCAAGGAGGTGGTGGCGATGCACTTCCGTTGCGTTTTGCTATCACATAGGTGGGAAGAGACGGAGGCGCTGCTGCATGACATCAAGGACAAAGTCGTGTACGAGCTGGATGGACTTGGTGGCACCACAAAACTGCAGTCATTCTGCAAAATTGCTCGTGATGCGGGGTTTCGCTGGGCGTGGATGGATACATGCTGCATCGATAAGAGCAACAACGTTGAGCTTCAAGAATCGGTCAATTCCATGTTCGTCTGGTACCGCCACTCAGCGCTCACCGTTGTCTACCTATCCGATGTCCCTCCTTCGTCCCAGTCCGGTGCACTGGCGAGTAGTGTTTGGAACGAGCGAGGATGGACCTTTCAAGAATTCGTCGCTCCGAAAGTCGTCAGATTTTATCAGAAAGATTGGTCGTTATATCTTGACGATCGTTCTTCCAACCACAAAGAGTCCCCAGCAATCATGAAGGAGTTGGAGGGTGCCACAGGAATAGATGCACGAGCCCTGATCTCCTTCCGTCCAGGGATGCGAGATGCTCGAGAGAAACTGTGATGGGCATCAAAACGTGTCACCACGATGCAGGAAGACATCGCGTACTCGTTGTTTGGTATCTTCGGTGTCCACCTGCCTGTAATCTATGGTGAGAAGAAGCAAAATGCACTCGGGAGGCTCCTGCAGGAGATCGTGGCTAGATCAGGCAACATAACTTCCCTGGACTGGGTCGGACGATCGTCCGAGTTCAATAGTTGCCTTCCAGCCGACATCATCTCATATGCAACCCCGCCATGCTCCCCAGCATCATTGTCTGAAGATGACATTCAGACAGCGGTCTCTTTGCTGCGAAACATTGTGGCTGTGGATTCAGCTTCAAAGTTTTATAACCTGCTCGAGAACATGAATGCTCCCTTCTTCGCAAACTGCAGACTCCGTCTACCTTGCATCGCATTCCGTGTCACGGAAGTCAAACGAAGGCGGGGTCTTGCTGCTCATTCTACGTATGGAGTGAAAGCAGATGGGATTCGGGACTTGGTGATCACCACGGACGAGGCCCTAATTCAATTCTCGCGCGCAAGGCCCACTCAGCAGACGTTCTTTCTTATCCGTCCATGGGACCGTCGTCTCCTTGGGCTGCGTGATTTTTCAGAGCAGCTCACCTTTCCGGACGAAGGGGAGAGCGTAGGGGATTGGTCCGAGTCCGAGTCCGAGTTGTCCAGCGATTCACCTGGAGAAGAGGAATTGTCAGTGGACTCGGATGTTCACTCGCGATCATTGTGTTTGATGGTTCACCTTGGGCAGGCTTTCAGCGCACTTTTGGTAGCGCAGCAACACGTTGGAGAATACAACAGGGTCGCGTCGGACCATAATATCATTGCGCAAGTCAGAGACACGGCTTCGATTGACATTATGAACATCAGAATCCTAGACATATTGTAGCTACATGGCTTTCTAACAGTGATCTCCGAGAAGTTTGCGTTTGTGTCTTGAGTCGACGATCACATTATCATAGCATACATACCCCGTAAATAACGTCGCGCAACTGCTCGCAAATACAAGATGTCAAAAATTGACATGCAGAGTTGAGTGCCTGCGAACCTAGTCGACATAATATCAAAGACTTGATTGGCATGTACCAACAGTACTGCAATCATCTGGCAGATCCAGAGATGTTGTGCTCCTACAGTCAGTCCGCATTCAACCAGCACCTGAAGACAAATCCACCCGGATAGCACACCAAGAATCAAGCACATCTTTGGACAACTCAACGAAGCATATGGCGATATTGGCCTTGACATATTGTACCATGCCCTCCTCATTCACATCAATACGAGCACAAAAGGCAACTTGTGTGTACACAAGTATTAATCATGTTAAGGTACAAAAGAGAACTACTCAATTTCTGTCTTTCAAGGTTTACGAGAAGCCACTCGTGGCGAGGGCAGCATTTCCATTGGCAACGCAGAGTTCCCTCCATTCTTCGTTGAGAGCTGAGGGTAGCATGAGGGAGAGAATCATGGCACGGGTGACATCAGTACTGAAAGACTATGACGTACCAGGGATCCAACCAAGGAAGATAGCCTTCGTGGGCTCATTGCTCATGTCCATCATGTATCGATATGATTCAAGTGCTGCTCCAAATTGACCTCCCCGAATGAGTGCGTGGCATCGTTGCTGGTTCACATTTTGTCACAAGGACTTGAGGTCCCAGCCAAACAGCTGCGCAAGCACGCGGTTGAGTATGGATGATTATGACTGTTCCGAGTCATATCAACGTACCACGACAAAACCCTCGTACATGGAATGAATGTCTGACTTGGAAAAGAATGCGCCAGCATTGACAGCGGCAGTGAAGTGGTCGACAGCTTCTTTGTAGAGGGTGTTATCCATGGCAATGTTTCCCAGCTGGACTCGCAAATATGCCTGATGTGCGAAGCACAGAAAAATCAGTGCGCATACGAACCTGGGCTTGGTGAAGTGTATTATGCTCACTTGTACAACACGAGCAGCAAGAGGATCGGCGTTGGGACGGGCAGCTAGCTCTTGGACGAAGCGCATTGCTTCTTCATGGTTATTTGCATTGAACAATGCGATGGCCTGAAAACCTCTAATGAAGCATCGAATACGAGTAACATATTCACCTACTTTGATCAAGAAAAGAAATTGCGTCGTCAGTGAATCTCCGTCGGTGGACGTGAATGTGAGGTCGAATTCGGTCATCGCTTCTCGGATCTGTTGTTTCCCGCAGAGGGCGATGCCCTTAGAGATATAGCCTGACAATGAAGGCTGAATGCTAACAGACTATGTCACGGTCAACGCTAAGGAGGACACGATGGGGGGTGCCAGTGTACTCACCTTGCTTGCATCATCAAGTGCGCGATCCCAGTCGAGTCATCTCGCCATGACGAATGAGCGGTTGGCATAGGAGGTATGGCTGTTAGCATCAACTTCGATCTCTTGTGTGAGTAATTGTTCAGCGGTAGTCAAGTCCCCTGTGATGCATGCATCATGGATGATCGTGTCGATGGCCAGGATCTGTATGAAGGCGGGGGCATGCTCGACTTAAACTTGTATTACACAAGTCAATATTGGAAGCATGCCTTTAAATCGGAGCATTGAACCTTTGAATCAAAAAACGCGAGATGAGATTATGAAAGGACCAGAGAACCAAGAAGAAAGTACCTTCGCCACCTGTTCCTTGATAGCATCCTTTGGCAAAACATCTCTGGGGACCGCCCACTCTGAGACCCGCCCGTTATCATCTCCGCTGAGGATACGCTTCCCATCCATCGAGAAGGTGACGCAGTACGTGGAGTGAGAGTGCTTGAATATCATGATGCTTCGCCGATCTGACAGCGACCAGAGGTGCACGTGGTTATCAAGAGATGCGGAAGCAAGGAGTGTACCAGCAGGGTGAATGGCAATGGCATGGATCGCCTGAGTATGGCCTGTCCAAGAATCACCGACCTGCTCCCAGGTCGACGCGTCCCACTCCCATATAGTGGGATCTTTCTCGGAGCCGCTTGAGAAAAGGTGTGTACCATCAGACGTCCACGCGAGTGACGTGTTATGTTGTGTGTGACCCTTGAAGTTTGCAACACATTCTCGGGTGTCTGAATCATAAATTTTGATCCTGCTCTCCATTGCAATTGCAAGAAGTTCACCAGACGGCGAATATCGAACGCAACGAACGGGACTACCACAGTCCATTGGACTTCCTTGTCGCTTCCATGTTTTTGTGCTCCACAACTTTGTCGTGGAGTCGCTTGAACCAGTTGCCAGCATGGTACCATCAGGAGAAAAGTCCAGTGTGTAGATTCGACTAGAGTGGGGTTTGGATTTGGAAGATTGAACAAAAGTTTCTCCGTGCCAGGTGATGACTTCTCCGTTGGTATCACTGCTTGCGATCAATTGCCCATCTCGTGATACCGCCAATGCCCACACCTCGCTGGAATGCCCCACCATTTTCTTCGACACTCCACCTGTCTTCAAGTCCCACAGACGAACTGTCTTGTCTTTTGAACTGGTAACCATACTTTGTCTATTGGAGAAAACTGAGACTGCAGTCACGATGGCCCTATGATCTCTAAACTCTCGAATGGGTGTGGGGCTTGGAACGAGCTGAGACATTTGACTCGAGGTCAGGGTAGACGTGGTAGAAGGATCGTGGGTGCGGCGAAACTGTAGAGATGTGTGCGTTAGGTGATCTTATCCTGGATTGATCAGACGCCCAACACACGAGGCTATTGATTCTTTTTCATTTCGAGGACCATGCAGCAGACAGAAGCAGTCCTAATCAGCCACGCGCTACTCCATTGAGCAGCCATAGATATGGTATTTGGTCCGGTGGCATGTCGACCTTCTGTTCCATGAATGTTCTTGCTGCAGATCCAAACTCCTCCTTGCATGGTACCGGACCGTCACAGCCTTCCCCAATAAATGACGAATGGTCACTGAATCATATGGCAAGATATTTTCTCCAATGGGAGTAGAACCGAAGGAGAATGTTGTATTCAGAAAATCTGGAATTTGAACACTCTGGGCCCTTGCGATTGATCCTGCTGACTGCCACATCATCTGCACAGAGAACGAGAGCATGGAAGTTACATTCGTAACTTGGCGCCAAAAACTGGAGTGGACCCGCTGAAGTTGCAAGCCCAGATCACAAGTAGCTGGGGGAGTAATGTATCAAGTACTCGCACATGTAGTTAAGGGTAATACAAGAATCACTCTGCACTGTAGGACCTGTGATACATCAATGTACAGGGTTGCACAGTCCCCCAATAAGTCCCCCAATAGACTGAGCATAGAATATGAAGCAAGGGATTCTCGATCTTACAGATCTCGTATGTTGTTGGTACCTGGCATTCTTGATCTTACAGATCCCTAAGTCATCAGTACCTGGTCATCCTGATCTTGTTCCTAGTGATCAAGCTATGTTTAGTGCAAGATATAAATATATTAACGCCTAGTGTTAAGTACATGAGTGATGTATCAGTTATACAACAGGGGCTGCACGTCGATGGTAGGTTCATCCTCACTGTCCGGTGGGATCTCCAAGGTGGTGCTTACAAACTTCGGTACATCTTTCCATAGGGCCTGAAAGGATGCGACAAGGGATAGACGCAGCGTAGCCTGTCGACATGCATACGCAGCCAGCCCTTCTTGTTCAGCCGCCGACTCCGAGGCTTGAGAGCTATGCCTTCCACCCCACCACTCCGCCTGCCACTTCAAGAAGACTATAACTCTCCGCATCTCCTCGAGGAGAAGTTCAACTTCTTCCGACCAACGGTTTGCGCGTGCGCGCGCTTTGCACCACTCTACTCGAACGCCTAAGAGATGTCATCAGTATACCATATCAAACTAGAATTAGTAGACCCACAATCCTGAACGCGCTCATTTTCTGAGCTGCTATTGTCCACATGTGAGTCTAGCCAGATCCAAGAGATCGTACCAGTGCCTTGTCTCTCCATATCGCCCATAGGTCTTACATCTGAATCCAAGAGTGGTGGAAGGGAAATGTCCCAGCCCAACTTATCGAGTCGATAGCCGAGAGCTAACAGAGCGTTACGCGCACGTCGATACTTGTCAACACTAGCCCGTTTTCTCATCTCCACGCCTTCGATGAGGGCCTGTGCACGGGTAGAAGCTGCCTGACCGCGCACATTTCTATCTTTATAGATATACATATGAGACCGAAGCCGGAGATGTGAACGGACCTCGTTGAGAGCATCCTGTGCCTGTGCATGCCGTAGGTCCCATTCGTGTGCAGCCAGCTTCTTGTCACATGATACTGTTGGTTGGAGCTCAGACGGGAGCCACAGCTTAAAGCTCTCGGGCTTGAGCGGCATCGTATTCGTCATGCCAGCTTCTGAAGATCGTTGATGAAACTGGGACACGATGGGCATATATAACTCCTGGACACGAGCCCAAGCATCCAGCCGACGTTGAAGGGCAGTGACACGGGTCTGCATAGCAGTCTTCTGCTTGTCCGTGGGGTGAAGAGACGCATTGGCCATATCAGTCTTCAAGTGCTGTCTTGTTGAGTTCTTCGTTACTGCGGTGAACTTGCTTGGTTGAACAGAAATACTCACTGTTGGTCTTGGAGGTCAATGCCGGTGGTGATTAATCTAGTTGGAGAAATGTCGGTATGTAGGGAGACGTTGGTCCCAGCCTGAAGTTCGTCGGCTTCAAGCTCAGCGAGCCGTAGACGCACTGCGGCTTGTGTGATAGCTGGGAGACATTAATTTGTGAACTCTAAAGAAATACCATTACTCACGAGCATATCGGCTCTCAAATGGATTACGTTGAGAGCCGTCCTCCTCCCAAGCCTCGACCTCTTTCCTCCACTGAAGGATGAGCATAGGCTGAATGGTCCTCTCTAGCTCCGCCAGTCCTTCCCCATGCTCCCTCTTCCACTTAACAGTGTCACTGATCTTGCGCAAGAGAGTCCGGCCTATTAACGAATAAGCCCAAAATATTCCAACAGATAAACAATACAGACCTAGTGCCGTAACTTTCTTCCAGTTCCAATCCCCGAAGTGATCATCGAGGGTATCACGACGCAATCCCGGACCCATTTCCTTTGTGCTCGTCGTGACCCGGTTTATATTGGACCATCCGCGCTCAGGAGCCTCGCCATCGGTTCGTCCCACGTGTTTTGACCAGTTGAAGGAGAAGTTTCGTTGACATTGGTCAATGTGCGCTTTCAGATGGAATTTGGGAACAAAAAACCGGACGGTCATGGAAGTATGAGAAATGTGTAACCTCGGCGGCATAGCTTCCATACGTGTCCAAAGATTTTTATGCCACTGGCATGCAATGTCGTAAGAAATATTGATCATCGTTACCGCGAAGGCCAGGAGTGCCGAGAACACGAGATAATCCATGTTAATGTATCTATATATCCCATTTATCAGCGATGCTCATGACATTAGATAAAAATTGAACGCACTTTTCGCCTTTCTGCAAGTCACCGACCCCATTCGCAAGTTTCATGTCATGCCTGGCGCAATCGACTGCGCCAACGCCTGTTGCCGCCAGGCCATGCGAAGATTTCGTGTCTGCCATATTGACGGCATTATGACTAACACATGTACTGCGCTGGGATACTATTAGTCAAACGTTGCATGTCACAATATTACTTACATCTTGCTTTGCGCCAGCTTGATCAGCCAAATATGACTTGTACGCCGCCTCCTCGACAAAATAAGCCCACCCAGAGTTCAGGCTGGGATCTCTATTATCCGAAGATACTGCCTTGCGTTTGAGCCGGAAGTTGGCATCAATTGCAATGAATAGAGCGTATTTCCACCTACATTACAAATAACATCAGCCCATCAGTTGTAATTGCTGCTGAATTTATTTTTTTACATACCTAACCAATAATGGCACATTCTGCCAGTCTTGCGGTAGATTCTTGCCAGGATGGGGGCATGCCAGACACAGCACGGCTAATTCACCCGCAGTCGTGGCCTTGGCGCCAGCAGGGTCATGGCCTCTCCCTGCATGATGGAGTTGCCTGAGATGTCGCCATTCGTGAATCATACGCATGAATGCGGAGTAACGATCCTAAGTCTCATGTCAGTAACTCGCAGGACTGATACATTGTGGCTACTTACTCGTATGTGCGACAGGCCCGCGTTGTTGTTTCGTCTCGCTAGTGAATGGTAGAACTCATACGCTGACACCTTGCTCTCGAAAGACAGGATGTGGAAGTGCTCCAGTAGAGTAAAGGTTGCAGCAGTCCGAGGATCCGACGTAGTTGCTGGATACCATTGTGCGCGAAGTAACTGCTTGTAGCGGATTTGAGTGCTTGCGCAGCCACAAAAGTCCAGTGCGATCTCATGCACGCCATGGACGTCGATGACAACGAAGTCATCACCAGCCGAGGGACGAGGGTTGTAGCATGTCTCGCCTGGCTCGTGTCCTAGCTGCACACGAAGACCCATTTGTTTCAGGGTGCTGCGCTGGAAAAATAAGTTGTTCCACATCTTAGAGGGACCTGTCAGTCTTTAATATTAGCAAATAAAAATGTGTACGTACGTCAATCCTGTGCAAAGGGTTATTCGCGTGACTTTGAAGCACGCACTCTTGACAAAACATTTGTGTGCCGAAGCAATCACGACATCTGAAAAGGGGTGCAGCAAGGCCACAACGACATGAGATCCCTGCATTTCCACGACCTTCAAGGCGCAAGGTTTCATCCAGGAAGGCCTGACGCTCGGGAATCCATGCTAGCAATGGTGTATCCTGATATATGATGTTTAATTTGTGTGATAATTGTAGGCCGACGATACTCACCGCAGCAGTGTGTTTGCATTTGTCAAGCCGACAATCAATCTCTTGTGGTTCCTCTTGTTCCAGGGACAATTCATCCCAACCATCCCACGGGCCTGCGTCAGAACCAGCATCTGAGGAGTCAAAAATGGAGAGAGAGGGAGCGGGAACATAATGTGTATGTAGTTGGGTGCGACCCTGAGTAGTGATTCCTACTGTGCGTAACTGCAACAGTGGAGTATTAGCGGCGGAGGGTATGAAACGAGTACGTTCAATCCAGGAACTCTTGGCTGAGCGTCCCTGCGACATTACACCTAGTCGTCGACCAGGGCCAGCGTTCAAGACTCCAAAGCCAAAAAGAAGCACAGAGAATCATGATACTTCAAGCAGTAAGTAAATACTCCATGTAATGACAAGGAGAATAAAGACTCACTGGGCTCGGAATAGAACATAGAGTTGTACATGTAATTCAAGAGGTAAATGCTCCATGTAATAATTCTAATGGGCACAAAACTCACCGTCCTCAGAGTAGAAACAAGCTGGTCACCTGTTGCAGCAGACACCATATAAGCTGCGTCCGAAACAGAAATCAAGGCTTCAATTATGATCATGGCGTGGACGACGGCAAGGTGAATGATCCGCAGTCTGATCATGATCTCGATCATGGCATTAACGACGGTGAATCCGAGTCACTGTTGATCCGCATGAGCTTAGTCAGCCGAGATTTCATGTCCGAGTCGTTCCATAAGTCAATACCACACCTCCTCTGATCAATATCCATGGACTTACAATGAGTTCTTGAGGATCAAATTACGAGAGCACTTGCTGCATAAATACCTGTCCCAGTGAGTAATGTATCATTCACTTTTCGCATCCTCCTCCACTCAATATACAGCCTCGTTAACATGTCTCAAAGCCCATCTCCCTCCAGTCAGACGGACACTATGGTGTCCATTCGACTGGATGGCCTCATTGGCATCTTGCAGGGTCTTTGTCTCGACGACAGGACAGCAATATCAGCTGCGTTGCAGGCTGGCACCAGTCCAAATGTTACCGAAGGTGGATCCGCCTGGTTTCTTTGATTTATTATTACTAATTTTGTTTTAACAATGTCGCAGGGCCTGTTGCCAGTCTCACAGCTCCTTTGGGCAGTGAAGATCCCACATCTGCTCCAGATGATTCCCCTGCCATCGTTGCAGCTCCTCCTGCTCCTGCCCCCGCCCCAGCCATAGGACATGAGCATGAGCCCATCATCATCCTCGCGCTCAATGACGGGGACTCATCCGACGATGAGGATGCTGCTAATGCAGCTACGTCCCTCGCTGATAATTCCACCCTTCAGTATCACAACGGCACATACTTCAATGTGCCCATTGAAGTCACCGCCCCACTGTACTACATAACGAGGGGTCGTTATATTGGGGTCTTCTCAGGATGGTAAGTCTAGACGTGCTCCATTCATTTCATTCACTAATTCATTTTGGACAGGGATGCTACTGGCCCCAAGGTGCTCGGGGTTTCACGCGCCATATATCACAAGGCAGAATCTCTTGAGCTTGGTATTGGGATTATGAAGCGCGCCATAGAACGCGGCGAGGTGGCACAGGTAGTCTAGTCTTAGTAGTCACACTGCGCAATTGTCAATACCAAGCTATTATATTTGTTCGAGCAAGCAGAGGAGCACAGTGAAAATTTGAACAGAACACCTTTGGAAGCACAACCCACACAAAAATAGCCCATGTGCCATAGGCTAGCTATTAATAACACTTAATTCTAAGTTTCGGTCCTACCATATGTTTTGGTCCTACCGCATCCTACAACATATCATTCTCGCCATTGCAAGCCTGTATCTTAGCTGAATGGTTCTCGGTGAAGGACCATGTCACTCTACAAGTCATCCTGCTTAGCTGTCTTGTTACAATATCTGCATGACTACTTGCTGTTGATTGATTATCGGTTCAACCTTTGTCAAGGACGATCTTGTTACTGACTTTACTAGAACTTAGGGGGACTTGGGCATTTGAACACTAGGTAAGTCCAGAATGATATTTCTCGCGAGGCAGCACTACCATAACACATATCACACTCACACTTATCTTTCCACTAGCATTCTACCTAGCTAGCAGGTCTCTCTCAGTCACAACGTCTTAAGATTGTGTTATGGTCCGACCATCTTCGCACATCCTCGCAGGTGCTTCATTCACCAATTAAAAAGGTTTGGTTTAAACAAATGTAAGTACTCGCTGCAATGCATATCATACTGATTCATACACATAGGTATCTTTATATCAACATTTCATTGAGGCAGCGGGTCCCTCAATGCACCATGTGTTATGGTCCGACCATCATCGGCGCGTGTGCTTCATTGGCAAATCAAAGACTCATTGTTTTGGTCCAAACAAATGTGAGTACTTCGTTTTAAATGCTGCGTTCTTCCCTCTGACTTTCACTGCTCTTCAGTATGGTATGCCCAACTATTCATAAAACTCATCAAGATAGAGTACAAGCTGCAAGAGACAAGCGTAGACAACACTATCTAAAGTAAGCAATACACCAACGGTGTCTTTGAGTCGCTTTAATCGAGAATTCCAGGTGTCGAGAGGCTATACTAGCAAAGCGGTGTCAGGTACGCAAAGAAAAAAAACTTTGTCCGGTCAACAATCCTTTGGATGACGAAGATGAACCAATGTCGTGCGGGTTTGACTTACATATCTCAATGTAACTGACATTAGCAACAGTGAAACCTTACAAGACTGCATTGCCGTGGTCAGGTATGCCAAGGACGACTTCATGGCGCATATCAAATCTCCACGACAATTCTTTGACCTCCTCATGGGCGAGTACTCCAAGACTATGCCTGACCCCGATTTAGATCCTACTGGGCGCGGAGACAAATCTATCTTCGAACACGCTATTGAAAATTTCGAAAATTTTATTGACAGAGCGAACGGCGGACTGGATGGTATCCTTCAGATGTGTGGTATTTGTGATGAGTGGCGTGCTGCAGATGCCGTCTGCAAATTCATGAGGGAAATGGTAGGGATGGTGGAAGACATCTTGTTGCGTCTGGCGGAAGGCGGAGACAGTGAACTAGCGGTTGCCTTCATGGAGGGTGAATTGTGGTACCAGGAATACAAGTTCCCCGCCTAGTGTACCTACTACCTAGTACTAGTACCATGCACTTCTATCTATGTCCATGGGACTATCGATTGGTGACAGCAACTTGCAGTGTGAAACACGCTATGCGCAAATCTTTCTGCGAAGATGCTCATGTACTATCTCCGAGTCTATTGGTCTGGTCATGGCGCAATGGGACAACCATTTCTGGGAGTACTTATCGCGCCTGTGGCTGAAGGAATCAGTACACGTCTGACTGATCCTTTTCATTGTGTCTAACTTTTATCTAGAGCATCTCACACGATGCGACAAATCAGTAAAAGTACGTGTAGATTACCTTGATGTTAGTACACTGACGAGTAGTCATTTAAGATGGCACCATGTAGTTGGCTCTCGGAGGAGCAGCAAACCTTTGTGCTCACCTACCATGAAAGCTTTCTCGAGTGTAAAAAAAAAGGGAACTACAACTCTTTCTGGCCCCCCTTTTTCGAGAAGTGGGAAGAATGTTGGCCAATCACTCTGGAAGGCTCATTAGAGCCCCTTGATGAGAATGCAAGACTCGAGCAGATGGCTAAGGCAAGGGATGCCCTTCAGACGGTAAGATTTGTATCCTAATTAATGTATTGAAATATTGGCTAATCATGTATGAAACTAGTGTTTGATGGTCAAACTACGCAATGACTTTGGTAATTCGAAGATAGGCCGCCGGGCAAACGCCGCTGGGAATACCATCGTCAGCAAGCTGATTGGCGATATCACCATCAAGTCAGGCAAAAAGAAATCGCGCCCCCTCAATGCAACAGAGGTTTATGCCAAGAAGTATTACTCATCGTGTGTCCAGCCTGCAGTCAAGGAGGAACTTGATGCCATGAAGAACGCAGTTGATGCACCTGAAGCCAAAAAGCGGGCGATTCAGGTTGTCCGCAAACAACTAGCATCCTGCTGGGAGAACGAAAGTGCGCAGGTGAAGGAAGAGGTCACGAAATTGGCCCAAGAGATGAAGGAAAAGAGGGAGAAAGAGAAAGAAGCCATACCTGACAAGAAGGAGGTGCCGAAGGAGTTGTGAGTGACGCTGACTATCTCACTTCATTATCACTGATGGTAGGCAGGGTTATATGCAGACTTACAGAAATACTGTCCACGTTTTTCACCGAGTTACACAATTTGACGGGATGGACATTCAGCGTCTTACTAGCTGGTCCTGACCCTGCAAACGCCGGCAAACTCGATGTCAGTAGCCTGCATATTGGAACAACCCTTGCTGGCAATCGGTTCAATCAAGCATATCCGAAATTTGAGGAGAGTATCATGGTGCCTTACTTTGAGTTTGCATCTCGAGCATTTCGTGAGTCATCTAATGGTTGGCGTCTCTGTTTGAAGCTGATCAAGATGTAGCCGACGCTGCATTATTATTATCAAAGGGAACCACTACGCCTGACCAGAATGATACATCACTGCCAGACACACAGGCACTGCCAGCCCATAACTCCCATAACTCCGTCACAGCTGATATATCAGACACACAGGCACTGCCAGCCCATAACTCCCATAACTCCGTCACAGCTGATATATCACTCGCTACCATCTCTTCTGCATCCTCTTCCACACCTGATACATCACTTGCCACTGTCTCACCCGATACATCACTTGCTACTGTCTCACCCGATACATCGCTCACTACCGATACATCATTCATGGTGTCAGTACCATCCCGGTTGCAATCCACTTACAACTTTTTCCAATTTGATCCCCCCGATCTTCAAGATGACGACGTTGATTTAGACTTCAACAGTACAATCCTACTGATGCCGCCCAACTACAAGCCGCCATCTCTGTTACCTCCCTCTTCTCCAATGGAGTTTTCGTCCACTTCCTCTGGAATGGATTGGTTTGCTTCTTCGAGATTATCTCCTCTAACTTCCACCTCGAGATTGGGAGACCTTAATCCTGCTGGTCCCTTGGGACACGACTCTGACAACGCCCTCACAACTTTGCAGAGCCAAGCGTCTCCTCCTCGTCTTCACCATATATCATCCGTTCTCACAAAAACTGCAACTGCCAATTCTTACGCTTCTGCCCCAAACAACAATCCCTTTGCTCCCATGGCAACTTCTACTCTCGCGCATTCTCCAACTTCGGTAGAAATCCCTTCTGTGCAACCATCTTCAGTTGTGCCTGAACCTCCCACCATGGAACCTATTATGGCCACTCCTTCTCCGCCCGCCACAGTTGGTGGGGTGTTACCAGCGACAACGAAGGCTGCTAAACGCAAGTCCACAAAGAGCAATGAGACAGTCTCTGCAAAGCGTCAGAAGAGGGAGGGTGCAGTGGTCCTACCCACTGAGAACTCACAGCCCATCGAGGGAGGCCGAGGTAAACGACAACGCTTCCAGTCATCCCAGGCGGCTGCTGCCAATGCCATAGGTACAACTTAGGTAAATTCTTTCGTGTTCATTCATAGCTGCTCTTTTCCCAGTACTACAATATGCCCGGCAACAGCCCTCTTAGTGACACTCCAACATTTGTTTCTTCATTCACCTCTCACAGTAGCTCATCCTTTCATCTCTTTCGGTCGTTAGTATACCATAATCGGCTTCCTCGTGTACTACATTGTATGTATTGCTTGAGTCCGTCGTGTTAATGCCTCAATGCCTCATTCTGAGTCCGTCATCTAATTCTGTATGAATGAAAAACCCATAATAAGGACTGAACTGCCCAAGCTCGCAGCCGACTCAAAGTATTGACTTTTGACTTGGTGGACTTAGTCGAATTTCTGCAGCGTTTGAGTTCAACTGATACATCACTGACTCGGATCTCTATACATAGATCTTAGGTCACACATTCTTTAAGGTTGGGCTGGGCCAAGCGTTACTAGCTCGGGGGTGGTACACAAGCATGGTGGAGCCATTGGGAGGGCAGGATAGTACCTACTCACGAAATTTGAACATGTTCGAGTCACCTGAGGAATCGATAAGCGCTAATATGACAATATTTTTTGTAGAGAAATATCTAAAGGAATTATGGTGTGTGAAACACTAAACCAACAGACGTCTAAGATAAAGGGAGTGGTGACTAGGTGGGATTTGAAGATTTTGAACGAACGAGGAGGCGGGCTGCATGACCCAGCACCAGTATAACTGAAAATAGGTGCTGACGAATAAAAGATGCATAGGAGATAGGATAAAAATAGATTATCTGGTGGGCTGCATGACCCGGCACCAGTATAACTGAAAATAGGTGCTGACAAATTAAAAGATGCATAGGAAGACAGGATAAAAATAAAAGGAAGCAAGGTACGTGCTTGACTAAGCTTGATGGAAGCCAAGAAGCTGGACTGGCAGCTGCTTGGTAGGATCCTCCACTGATACATCACTGCTATACGTCCTAGTAATTCTCGGTAGTTCAATGATTCATGTATTACCCTCACACTGACATTACTAGTTTTATAATGTATCATTATCACAGTATAGCCTGCCCAGATAAGTTCAAACACCGCTGTAGAGACTCGTGCCTCTCATTGTGCAATATTGCAGTTTTCACTAGGGAGTACATGGCACGAACTTGTAGCATCACTCTGTATGCTATCCACAGCTATTCCTATACGAGGCACAGCTTTCCCACGCAACGCGCAACTCGCGCGCGTGCCTTTCCCGTGCTTCACGATGTATATGCGCGTGCGCTTTCCCGCGCTTGAGTGCCCTATAGCGCCAGCCATCCGGAAGCATCCATCCACTGTCCACCAAGTTCCCTAGTGCGTATATTTCCATTTCTCACATTTGCATATTGTTCCATCTTTATTTTTATCATGGACCCTTACTGTTACAAGTAACATCGGTCACGTGGCCCCCCTATCATTTTCCCTTCATCCTTGCCCTCACCATCTACCGGCTCGTCCTCCTTTACCGCCTTTCCGTTGACCGGATCCTCGGGACCGTTCCCGTCCCTCGCATCGCCCGCCTCTATGCACGTGCACGCACGTTCCTCCTTTGATTCGACCACCAATGTGGTCCCGCACCTATGACTCGGTCTGACTCGTGCCACCAATGTGGCTTTCCTCTTTCTGTTTCCCCTGACTGCGGATTCCCGCACGTTGTATTCTTACCGTTGGTCCGTTCCAACGTTTCTCGGTCTCATTCCACATTCGACCATCCACCACTAATCCGGCTCTGATGCCAGCGCACCTATACCATTCTCGCTTCCCCTTTACCCTTACCTACTGTGCAGTAGCCTTGCCCTTAACCCTCTCCACTTAGTATAAGTAGTCGGTCACACTGTACTAGATTCTCTAACTTGAATCTACTCAATCTTCCCTGGAACATACTTCCCTCTGAAGCCCCCTCAGCTTCAGTCTCTAGTATCTTTTCTTAGTCGCTCTTCGCGGCTAAGTCTACCTCGATCGACCTCATCGTTCGGACAAGACTGTCCTTACCTTGAGCGACTTCTAAGACCTCCGTCTCAGAAGTCATGTGACACGCGCGTACTGTGATCACTGCCGACACGACCGTCACCAGTATCACTTGCTATACCGGATCCTTCCGGTTATGTCACGAACGTTAGCGGACGACGCCCCTCTTAGGGCTCCGCCTAACAGATCTATTTGAGTGCGTAACACTTACTTACATATATCCTTACATACCTTACTCGGTAGCGCTTCGGCTCCACATGACAGCGCTTAGGCACCATACTTAAGCGCCAGCAGTACATACTATTACTAACTTACGCACTTACTCACCCACCAAACCACGACGATACCCATTTACTACCCAGCAGAGCATAGTTGAAATCTATTACTTGGCACCTCGCATATAACATCTCTCAGCTTGCATCTCTCACCTCTTGTCTAGTGTCTTATCATCACTTAAGCAAACTCACTCATACCCTCTCTTGTTTCCACATACACGCGCCCGCATTCCCGCGCTTCGCGCATTCCCGCGCCTCGCGCGCACCTGCGCTTTCCCGCGCTTCGCATTCGCCAACCAGTAGCGCCTTCGGCGCCTACTACTAGATCCTTGCTGCACTCGCTTCCCCTTTAGGGTTGAACGCACTTGTCGTCTCAAGTATAGCAGACTAGGCAACGCGCGACCTTACAACATTTATAGATACAGTCAGGAGCATTGTTCATGCCTCGCTGTATCGTTGAACCTTCACCGCATCACCAAAATTACCGAAATCAGACATCACATAACATATTGAATTTCAACGGCACATGTCGACATTTTCTGGCTTTGATTATGCATCTTAAGGTATACCCAATCATTTTAAATATTAACAATTTGTCCCTTGAACAGGATCTGTCATCGAATCTTATTTGGCCATGCTAATATGGTAGAAGCGCCAAGCAAATTGCGACTTGACAAAACTCGTGTCAAACACTGCAATGCGCACGTAGTGAACCATGCACATACTACTATGTCAAGTTTGACTCGGAGTACTGCATCACGGTGGTAAACTTTGGGCGCCACGTGAAGAAGCAGCCTTTGTAGGTGTATCCTAGCATTATGTGGCAGCGCACTCCCAAAATCATCATTCCTGTGGTCGACTTAATTCGACAGTTTACTGGAGGTTCGTGGTGTTAAGTACGGTCGAGGTGGACTTTGAGGAGATTGTGTCTTTCTCCGAGTCTAAGTTGCAGAGGTGTGTGTATTCGTTGTTTGAGGCTCGCGAACAGATTGTGAGAAGTGTCTTGCCTTTGAAATCACATACGGTGCAGAGAAAATGGAGTGGCTGCAGCCTAGGTCCCCGGAAGCCTCGAGAAATGAAATATACTCTGTATTGTCATCGACACTTCTTCCCAAACGTAGATGACTACAATATAAACAACATGCCTAACCATAGTCCTGGTGATTCAATCTGTTATCATGTGGACGGCGTCCACTCAGCAAGCCACTCCTTCATGTACCGTAATCCTGCTTTCTGGACGGCCGCGACAGTTGGGTCTACAATGCCATTCTTTGTGTCCATATCCGAGCAATGGAATCCATCGCCCTGATAAATCGGCATGCTGGGATTATTAGGCTTATTCAGTCCATCAGCAGAGACAGTTGATTCACGCCAAGGGTCGCGCAGGCCATTGGCGAAGAAGAGACGTGGAACATTTATGTTCCAACCGGCATACATTGTGTCGGTCTGTGTGGTGGTCGGCTGAGGTGGATAGGCGAACGCTTGAGGAAACATGTTTACGCATTGGCGCTGAAGATTATATTGAAGAATGCTCATGTTTTGAATGCAATCAATATACGTACCTCGGTGTAAATGGGTTGAAGGATGCGGCTTACGATTGCGGGCTGGCCCTCAGGAGGGCCAACCTGGTACCATCCGACTTGATTGCACCTGGGATAATTGTCAGAGTGGATATTCGAACTAATGAGAATACATACACCATCCAAAACCACGATCTGTTTGCATTGTTCACGGTAACATCAGTCCAGACGGGCTGGCTCGTGTTATACGTCCCAAAACAAGTTCTAGCTTCGCAGTCAGCCAATCCGGATGACTATATCCCAGGTATACGTACTCAGCATCCACGGATCCACACACTTTACTATCAAGTTTAGTCATGTAAATCGGAAATCAAAGGGACCGCCTACTATATTTGTAGTATGTAGTATTCCAGAAATTTCCCCAAGAGTAGATGGCGTGTTCAAGTCCCCATCCTTCAGGTCCGGCACTGACACCGTTCTTAACCTCGAGTGCATCACAGAACTGGAAGAACATGGCCCCTGGGCCAACGTCAGGCTGCAGATCTTGCCAGTCGAACAAGTTGTTTTGAACTGTTGGCCCAAGCAAAGTCAGTCGAGTCAAGAAAGCAGAAGAAGAAGTTAAGAAAAAGAATGTCGCAAAAAGAAAAGGAGGAACTGTGCGCGCTGGTGAGTGCAATATAAACTACATGCCAACCATGCTGTGTGTTCTACGCAATCACATAAGCCTGAATACAGGACAAGGACGACTCACTTGCAGCGGCGAAATCATCTACGTGTACAACATCGCCGAGGCCAAATGCCTCCTTGAGGGTCTGGATTCCAGCCGTGTCGTTAGCTGCGTACAATTCATCCAGGTGGGCAATCACTGCCTCTACATCAGAGGAACAGTTCTGCGGCATGTACTCGCGAACAGGGGTGAAATACTCATAATAGTCACTGTTTTGGTCGAATAGAATCCCATTTCAATGAATGGCCATGTTGCAATATATTCCGATGGTCATAACGGTCGGAGAAAATCACACCAATGAGACAGGAACAGTGATTTTAAATAAAATGACGTACGTGATTGCTTCTACGACCCCAGAAGATGCATGTGCGGCCCAGAAAAGTCCTGGTTTGCTGTACACGAATCATTAACTGAAACAAACGTTTCACTTCTGGCAAGTTACTCACTTGACCATCGTCCAACTTGTGAGGGCCCCTGCGTAGCTTCCTCCCGTCAGTATCCAAGGGGCCTGACCTGGTTTCACAGCATCACCCCCAGGCATGGGAAGGTCAGCAGTATTCGCGAAATACTCGAGATCATCAATGGCCTGCTGGATGGTAAGGAGCGCGAGAGATTGTGACGTGAGGTTGTCGTATGGATTGGAATAGCCAAAGAAACGGTGTTCGATGCTGATGACCGCACCATTCTGTTGTTGAGCGATGAGACCGTTGATGGTGTCATTGGTAATGAGAGCCTCGGAGCCTAAAGATCAAGTGCTTGAGAGAAAGTCACAAATTAAGGATGGTAAACTGACCATTCCCGGGACCTTCTCCGGGTGTCGTCAAGATGATGGGGCCACCTGCGATGCAACGTTACTCGAAGTTGCACCTCTATCCTCACGACATACCGGGCTCGTAAAACTCCCAGTTCATCCAATACCGCTGCTGGAAGGTCCCGAGGTCTGGATTATTGTGGTCGATGAGCTGATCAAAGTAATAGATGGTCGTAATGGGTGGGAGTACTGTGCCATTCGGCGAAGTGAACGAACGTTCTGGCACTGGAATTTTTGGGAGAGAAGGCATGCCGCGAAGCATTGCGTTGGGGATAGCTGCTCGGACAGGACCTGCAAGCAGCATCGACGCAAGGGCCCACATCATGTTGAACATTGATGACAGGGATGGCACTCAACAACATGATGATGGTCGAGAAAAGACCTTTTATAGCCACGGCGAGGTACCACACTTCCGAAGTTCTGATTGAAACATGTGCTACCTGCTTCGCAAGCAAGACGCGGTGACAGATGGGGCACAGAATGGATTTGGACTTACATAGATGGCAGCAGATTACTCAATGGCTTTCAAATGCACCCATCGAACTGTTGAAGTTCCAGTACAGTGTAGATTTGCTTATCGCATCCAGAGTCTGAATATGTGGCTCGCACGACTGAAATTTGAATAGTTGTAGATAACTCCTGGAATATTACTTGCTACATGCTCGATACTGATAGGCCAGTGGTGAATTAGAAGCTCACTTGAACGACTTGCTGGCGGCGCTCACCGTTTGAATGCCATGGTAATCTGACTCGGAGACCGGTTCCGAGGCTGGACCACGGGAACATCTTACGAGAAGTTGCGACGTCTGATTCTTGCAGGACATCATGCGTCAGTGGGAGAACACACGATGACCTGCTGTGGTGGTGATGCACACACCTTACAGCGAAAATTCGGACTTTGCGGTCAAGCGCGCGATCACTTGGCCTAATATGGACTCTGAATGAACTTCAAAGCGCCAAGCAAATTGCAACTTAACAACAACTTGACAACTACAAAACTCGATTCAAACGCTCCAATGCGCACGTACTAATAAACCATGCACGATACTACTATGCCAAGCTTGACTCGGAATACTGCATCATCATGGCGGCAAATTTTGGGTATTAATGTGCGTATCATGGTTGAGGTTAGCAAATTTGCTAGTCTACGTCACGGTATACGGATATTCCACAATATGACAGCACGAATAACCGCTAGCATTGTGTGCTATTGGGTCCACCGTAGGGTAGAGCACGGGTACGGGTATGGTGTGGATTATGGAGACCCGCACGTACACCGTGCATTCTCGTCGCGGTTTACGGCGTTGGACGGGTGTGGATCCCCGACTTGTCCGAGGGTGCGGGGGTCAAAATTTCATTACTCATAAATAACCTCCTGAGCTGTCACCATGTGAACTTCGACCGCAGGTTCATTGAGCAGCAAAGTCGAATCAGAGTGATAATCGACGGCACCAGCTATGCTGATTTGCCAGTGAAATGATATCCCATGAGCTCGGACAGAAGCAATAATTTGTGGTACCTAGGTTCTGTACGAGTTAAAAGGCCAATGAGTTGTGAAGAAATGCAGAATACTATTCACCTTCCTCTCATGCGCCACTCAAAAAAGGCTGATGAGTCTTCCATCCAATCATACTCGTCAAAATCGTCTTCGATAGCATCGTCTCTGAAGTCCGCCAGCCAGAAGAGTGTGGATGTGCTTACCCGTCCTTTGAAGAGAGTGAAAACTGTCTTGCTCCGAGTCTCGAAAAAGATACGCTCATCACTGCCACCATCATCTCCCGAACCATCGGTAATCGATGTTGATGCCATTGACACGGGCCCGGCAACAAAGTCTGACGACGAAGAGGACCTAGATGCGGAACTTCGTAAGACTTCTGCTGATACTATTTTGTCAGTGCCTTACCGATTCAATACAGAAAAACTGAAGAAGAATTGGCGTTCACCTATCTATGCGTTTTTTGACACTGATCGTGTTGCTGTTCAGAACGTGGATGGTCGTAATTGCCACTTCTTCCCCTGTGCAGCACAAAAATGCAAGACAAAAATTGGAGGTGTTCGCCGTTTCCAGGACTCGAAAGATAAGGCTTCAACTGCTAATCTAAAGAACCACGCCATCGGCTGTTTCGGTGACGAGGCTGTCAAAGTCGCATGTGTTACTAAGCAAGCGCCCGACTTACAGCCTAGCGGATCAATTTTCACCGCATTTGCGCGCAAAGATAAAGAACCCGTCAATTACTCGCATCACAGCCATACCAATCCGCAAGTTCGGTATGTGTGTACATTTTGATTAAATTCCATGTGACTGATGGGCCTTTGACAGCGCTCGACTTGTTCAATGGCTCACTGAATCTAACCGGCCTCTGAATATCATCAATGATCGTGCTCTTCGAGACCTTCTCACTGCTGGTCGCCCATCAATCCAACTCCCCTCACGTTTTACCTTATCACGGGACATCAAGGCTTCGTTTGAAAAATGTAGTGACCGAATTGGAAAACTACTTCGAGTGAGTTCTTGGTGTTTGTCGCCTACTGTTTCTGGTTACGACATAAACACAGGAGTATCCTGGTCGCCTTCACTTTGCCACTGATGCGCGGACTTCGCCCAATCATAGAGCATTCGTGGCATGGACAGTGCACCTGGAATTCAATGGCGAAATGTTATGTTTCCTCCTGGATATCGTGGAGCTGGCAGAGGTTTGTCTCGCAGTACCTTCAATGAGAGTGTTCTAAACATTACTCGTCGTCAGTCTCACACTGGTGTTGCCTTAGCGAGGGCCTTTCAAGCTATGCTCGAACGTTTTGGTCTCACTGACCGGGTAGGATAATTTACACTATATCATGTTATATTTGTCACTCATTCATTTTTCAGATGCTCTCGCTTAATGCTGATAGTAATGCAGCGAACGACACGCAAGTAGATAAGCTCGCGACACTGAATAACTCCTTCAGGGCCGAGCAGCGTGTAAGGTGTTTTTGCCATACTCTTCAACTTGCTGCCAAAGCATTTCTTTCACCATTTCACTCGAGCATCGGATGTCAAGCAGACGAATGCGATGACTGCCCTCCACTTATCCTGGACGATGATGATGGTGATAACGACGACGACTCAGAGAATGAAAAGACGACCAGTAGTAATACTGATGCTGACCTTGAGAACGACCCTGATGATGGTATTGATGAACTCCAACAACTACCTGATGATGAACAACGAGCGATGATTCAGAAGACAGCCGCCATCAAGGAGGCTATATTCAAGGTTCGTCACTAGTTCAGTGTACTTTATTTACTTATAAATTGAGCTTCTAGGTTCGGGGCCTTGCGTTTGCTATCATACGGTCAACTACAATTGCCCTTCCTGCATGGCGCCAACTATGTCAGGATGCCGAACTCAAACCCAAGCTGATTCCCCGAGACGTTGTTACACGCTGGAACTCAACGTACGACACTTTAGTGTTTGCTCTCGCATATCGTCAACCAATTGATGCAATCACTGCGGAGAAGAAGTACAAGTTGCGAAGATTCAAACTCGACAATGAAGAATGGCAGATTATTTGTGACGTGACAGCTTTGCTCGAGGTAATGTGACGTCCATTTTCAAGATTTTTTATCGAACTTAACTCTCGCAATTTTTGCTAGAAATACAAACAGGCAACACTTTTTTTCTCGCAAGACTCTGCCAGCATTGCTGCTGTGATTCCTGCTATGGACAAGCTTGATGACCACCTAAACAGTGCCACACGTCATGACTACCATCCTGCAATCCAGACGGCAATGAAGCTTGCACGAAACAAGATGGATAGGTATTGGCGCCACACGGACCAATCCCATGTATACCGAATTGCTATGGGTATTGTACCGTCTCCCAGTTGTTAAATTTCATTACTTACGCGTTCTATTACAGTTCTCCACCCTGGACTCAAACTGGAGTACTTCCGAAAACAGAATTGGGACGCTGAATGGATTGAGGAAGCTGTAGCACTGACTCGAGCAGAATATTCAGCGAACTATGAGGGCATAGTGGTAACAACGACAGACTCAACCATGGCGGCTGGGACAAATGAACCAACAGCTTTTTTCGGGTTTGGAGACTACTCTCTTGGTTGCGTCTCTACCCCTACTCAGCCCGTTAATGAGTTGGACGAATACCTTCAACAACCTCTCGAAAAAGTGGATGACGCCTTGAAATGGTGGTCTGCGCAACAAAAGAAATATCCTAATCTGTCCCGCATGGCTTTGGATTACCTGAGCGCTCCAGGTTTGTTTTTACAAAATAAGTTTCGTGTCTTTGACACTAACTTAATACACAGCTTCCTCAACTGCAGTCGAACGTGTGTTTTCACAAGCACGACAACTTCTACACTTCACACGCAACCAGTTGTCTCCAGCTTCCATTCGCGCTTTCTTATGCCTTGGTTCCTGGTCTCGCCATGATCTCATAGATACGCAGGACTTCCTCAGGGTGGTGATGAAGACGAAGAAGAGGAAGCGCAGTAGTTCTACTTAAGTTACTTGTTACAGTGTATACCTCAAAATACTATATGACCCGCGGGTCTGTGAAAAACCCGCGGTATACCGCGAACACCGTGCATACCCGCAGAATTGGCGGGTCGATGCACACCCGTACCGTGGCGGGTGCGGTGTGGCTTCAGCAACCCGCAGGTTCACCCGTGCTCAACACTAAGTCCACCGCGTCATGCTGTCACCGTGACGTGTCGCTGCGTGTTCATAGTTCTCTACTTACGGTTCTTTCCTCACTACTACGACGACCTCCGCTTCATTTCACGGTGTTGTTGGTCTTCAAAATGGAAGTAGATATTGGATTATCAAAAAGAATTCTTGGCGATACGACAAATTCATCCCCAAGAAGTCGGCGATATTCGTATTCATATTTGGTGCCACTGCCAACACTGATTCTGCCGAAGATATATCGGATGCACAGACGACTATTTTATAGTATTGGCCCTATCATTGATAATCTGTGCATCTCTTTGCCAACTTGTGACGCACATGACTTCTCTTGGCCTTCGTACTTTTGCTCATTCATCTATCTGTATAAAACTTATAGCACTCAACGCCAACATCATCAATATATCATGGACTGTTTGCCGGTGAACCACATCCTGAGCAACGTCAAGATCTGCCGATCAACAATCTGCTTGGGTAACTTCATTAAGACACTCATCATCACCAAAATTCCCCAACTCGGATAAGGGCTGATAATGACTGACCAGGATGCACAAGGTTGCAAAAGGTGCACCAGGCGTATCAGTGTGCGGAAGGCGGGGGAAACAACTTATAAGATCTGGTTGAGAAACTCAATTGAAGATAAGATGGCGGAAGTTGGGTAAGTAACTCGTACCTTAGTGCAGATTTTGAGCTTAGAAGCATTGATATGCCAATACTACTTATATGTTCTGATCTGGTGATGAATTCTGATAAGACCATTTCATTTCGGTATTGCATTACATGGTATGAGCAGACAGTAAAAGTACATCTAAGAGTGGAACATGCACCAAAGCTTCTGAAGGAGACTCGGTATGACAACGACAACAAGAGGATGATTAGACAGCAGCTTGAATGCGAACTGCGAATGAGAAGTGGGACGACGACAAGAGCGAAACATGCAACGAGTGGACAGCGGCCTGAATGTTGCAAATGAGACAGACAGACAGACAGATGAGAAAGACACATCCTGAGTGAGAAAAATCAGTGTCGACAATGAGACGAACCGTACACCAGCACCCGCATCTACCCCTTCTGAATAAGGCTTGCTATCTGCATGGGTTGCGGAGTTATGACTCGAACATGCTCTCATAGTCTACACATTGCCAATGACAACCTCCAGGGTGAGCCCATTCAGTCACATAGTCTGTAAAATACAGGCAGCCGAGGTTGAAAATATGCCGTTCCACACAGGCCAGCGGATGTCGGCTGATTGAATGTGTGTGCCCGAGTCAAACATTTGGCCGACTGACTAACTGATGTACCATTGGAACAGCTG